GTAGGAGTTGGGCCTTCCTCAAGCTCCTGACAGACATAAGATTTTTTACCATTTTTCTTGTTTCCCCTTTTTGTCTGTAACCTATTTTCATTAATTTGTTGTTTGTTTTTCTAAAGGAAGCGTTCTAGGTGGGGTCCAGTCTGGATCAGGAAGTGCTTGGGACCAGCTGTGGCGTGGATGGGCCGTGCCCTTGGAGAAGACTGAGGACATCATTTGGGACCAGCTTTTCTTGTGGCAGCGGATGGTGTGAGGTGGGTCCTCATCTCCTTGGCATGGGTGGGACAAGAGCTTTTGGGAGATGGCAGCGGGCACAGGAACATCCCGCTCTGGGCAGCTGCTGAGGGGCTGGATCTGCCGTGGCTGGCTGCGGGCTGGGCACATGTCCTGCCCTCCTGCTCTGCTCCCCAAGGCAACAGTGATGGGCAGCTTTGGGCCCAGCTCTGAGCATGGCCAGCATGGCCTGGGCACCGCGGCTGGCTGGGACAAGGGGACAGGAGTCTTCAGCTGATGGGCGGTTTCTGGTTTCTCTCCTTACAGCCGGGCTCTGCGGATGCTGAGGCTGCTCTGGGCTCTGCCAGGGCTCTGCTGGGCTCAGCACCAGGCCGGGATCAGCCAAAGAAGAAACGCTGTGACCTGCAGCAGAGACTTGAGCATTTTGGCAATGCAGCTCAAGTCTGCAGAGTGTCCACCTCCAAGGGAAAACATGACACCCCCCAAAAATTAAACTTGTTCCATAACTTCTGAAATGAAATCAATCTGGGATGACCCCTAATGACATTTTTTCATTTTGCTCAAGCTGTAGCTCAGCCCTTCTCTGAACAGTTCTGTCCCACACCTGCCTTTTACTTCACAATTGCTCCCTCCTTTCCCCCAGTGAGTTCCCAGCCCATCACAGTCTCCATCACACTGCAGCCTTCCTTGATGCCCCTCACCACGAGGAAGGCTGAGCCCCAGTCTCAGGGACCCATCCTGTCACTGGCTGAAGAGCAGCAATGTTTCAGAGGTCTGGTGGGAGTTTAGTGTCTTTCAGAGCTGCTCTCCAGCCCTCCGGTAGTTCCCACTCCCTTTTCCTCATCCATCAGGATGATCTCTGTGAATCCCCTTGTGATAAATGGAAATGATTTGTGCTAACTAAATTGTAACTGTTTGGAAAGTTATTATTAGAAGCAATCAGGAGAATTGGTGTTACAAGCAGATGTACCCCTTTAAAAATGTTACATGTTAAAATTAAGATAGAGGATGTAGTTCTGGGATAAGTAATGTCCCAAGAGAAAATAGACCATGAGATGGACAAAGTTGGAACGACTTCAGGCATAGGGCCTGAAAATTATGAAATGTAAGACTATTAGTGGAACACAATGCTTACTTGCATAACACAACACTTAGTAAGCATGCACAGCCTTTAAGGTTATCCAGAGGACAATGAGGATGAGTGTAAGCCTTCATCCAAAATACCACTGAAAGAAGACTGAAGACCCCCTAGCAACAAATGAAGCATGCACCATGACGAATAGTGACGTAAAGTCAAAGAATCAGAAATATGAGAAAACTTACAAGAAACATTAATGAATATTATAAGCATACAGTATATGAGTTTTGTTTGAATTGCTTTGTTTTGTATGTGAGGTGGGGTGAGAAGTCCTAGTTTTGTTTGAATTGCTTTGTTTTGTATGTGAGGTGGGGTGAGAAGTCCTCTCTGTAGCCCGGTCAGTTTTGCTTATGCTTTAATCATACTTAATTACTGGCAAACTATATTCACATACATATATATATATATATATATATATATATATGAAGATTATATATGAAGATATTCACTAAATTGTACTCTTTTACTAAATTGTATTCCTTTTATACCAAATTGCTATTCAAATTACTAAATTGAATTCTTTTAC